CATTTTTTATTGAATATGAATTTTGTTATGAATAGAAATTAGCATTTCAAACAAATGATAATTTTGACTAAATATTTTTTAGGCTCTGATGATACAGTGTAGTGCTCTAAAGAACTTTGAGATCAGGTCTCAAAACAAACAAAGAACACACATTGCCTTTTTCATATTTCTGTATGCGGCTTCTCATCACCTCTAAAGTGTTTACCACATATGGAGTTAGGGGAGGAAGCTATCTGATTACTGATAACACACCCGTTTTTTTTGACAATTTATGAAATCATTAACTCTACAGGTACCAAATTCACACTGGGCTTCAGCACTCCATCATCCGGCCCCGCCAGCCCAACTGCCTGCCCTTTGACCAGGTTACCCTGCCCCAGCGGTTGCAGGAGCTCGGCTACTCCACCCACATGGTCGGCAAGTGGCACCTAGGCTTCTACAAGAAGGAGTGTTTGCCCACTCGCCGTGGCTTCAACACATACTTTGGCTCTTTAACAGGCAGTGTGAACTATTATACCTATAACTCCTGTGATGGCCCTGCCCTGTGTGGCTTTGACCTCCATGAGGGGGAGTCGGTTGCCTGGGGTCAAATGGGCAAGTACTCCACCCATCTGTACACGCAGAGAGTCCGCAAGATCCTGGCAACCCATGATCCTCAGTCCCAGCCGTTGTTCATCTTCCTCTCCTTTCAAGCAGTTCACACGCCCCTTCAGTCTCCACGTGAGTACATCTACCCATACCGTGGGTTGGGGAATGTAGCACGCAGAAAGTATGCTGCCATGGTCTCGGCTGTAGATGAGGCAGTTCGTAATATAACATATGCTCTCCGCAAGTATGGCTACTACCAGAACAGCATCATCATCTTCTCTACTGACAACGGTGGCCAGCCTTTGTCTGGTGGCAGTAACTGGCCACTCCGAGGACGTAAAGGCACTTACTGGGAAGGCGGTGTACGGGGTCTGGGGTTTGTCCACAGCCCTCTGTTGAGGAAAAAGAGGAGGGTGAGTAAAGCCCTGGTGCACATCACGGACTGGTACCCTACACTGGTGGGACTAGCAGGTGGCAATGAGTCACTGACTGAGGGGGTAGATGGATATAATGTTTGGGAAGCCATTAGTGATGGCAAAGAGTCACCCAGATTGGAAATTCTCCACAACATTGACCCTCTCTATAACCACGCACACAGTGGCTCCCTGCAGAATGGATATGGGATTTGGAACACAGCCATACAGGCCTCCATACGAGTTGGAGACTGGAAACTCCTCACAGGAGATCCTGGTTATGGAGACTGGATCCCACCACAGATGCTTCCAGGTTTCCCTGGTGACTGGTGGAACTTAGAGCGCCACACTGCACCCTGGAAATCACTGTGGCTGTTCAACATCTCTGGAGACCCCTACGAACGCTTTGACCTTTCTGAGCAGAGACCAGACGTTGTCAAAGAGCTTTTAGCCAGGCTGGTGTACTACAACCGCACTGCAGTGCCAGTAAGGTACCCATCAGAGGACCCCCGGTCAAACCCCCTCCTGAATGGAGGTGCCTGGGTCCCCTGGGTGGGAGATGAGGAGGAGGACAGCTGGTTCCGTGTTTACCAGAAAAAGAACAAGGACTGGAAGAAGAGGCTGTCCAAAAGTAGATCATTTTTCTGGAGACTCAACAAGAGGATTATGTCCAACAGGATATAGAAAGGAAAGAGCAGGCAGTGACTTCAGCTGCAGGTGTATGTTGAGAACAAGTGAATGATTTAAAAAGTTCAGTCTTAAGTAGTATTCATTATTCAGATGGTTATTCATCCATTTGAATTAAAATGTGTTCATCCCTAAACTGAACACTATAAAAGATAAAAAATGTGAACTGATTTCATTTTATAAGGTTTTACAGGTACTGTATGTAAGTAAATGTATTTTATTAGTAAACAGATGTAGTATTTCACAAGAATGTCAAGGTGACAAGGAGAAATCATCTGCAACTGTCAGGTTTGCTCGGCCGCTCTGGCCTCCCTCACCTTTCCTACTGTCTCTTGCCCATAAACACTAATCACGTTCACCTGTTCCTCACTCCCTTATCACCAGCTGCACTTGATTAGGTCACTCACTATATTACCCGGTTTCACTCCTCAGTCACTTGCCAGTTCGTTCTAGTCTCTAGGCCATTTTTTTTCTCCGTGCTCTTTTGTTGTTTTGTATGTATTTATCCCCTAGCCAGCTACTGTTTTGTGTTCCCCCCATGGACTGTTCCTCTGGACCGTGGCTCCAGTCTCCCCTCCCAGGCAGGTCAATGCTCAGTCGCCTATCTGTTCTACTATTGTCATCATCTCTCTGTCTCTACCTTCAGTAACCACCATCACCACCGACCAGCCCAGGAGTGACCCAGCCTACACAGCTTGGCCCAGCTCTTCATCTCCTCGCCTCCTACTGTTGGTCAACACCCGGTTACTACTCATCGACAGGACTACGTACTATTTCCCTCTGTGCATTTCTCCTCATCACTGTACATAATAAATCACTGCTTGCATCGAAGTCTGCTACCTGGGTCTGCGAAAGGCACATAACAGCAACCATGTGTAACTATGATTAATATAAATGATGACTACCTTTGTATCAATGTGAACTAAGTTGCAAGGTTTATTTCTTTCATGCAAACTCATTCTCAATTTCTACAAATTATTTATTTACACATTATGAAATAGAGAAATATTAGAGAAACATTAGTTTTTTGAAAAAAGTAATTACTGGGTCCATTTGCTTATACCAAGCATCCTTTAGTATTTGTCATAATTCAGTTTAATGATGTGTTTCTTCTTCCTTTCCTTGTGTTACAGTGGTAAAATCCTATTAGCAGACAAGATTTTCAATAAGCCTGAGTGTGTTTGATGAAAGCATACTTAATTTACCTGTTTGTCATCAATGAGAACTTGAAAAAAGATTATTACTGTCAAAGAGTTGGTAAAAAGACACAAAGAGATTTAGCTTGTGACTTTGCAATTACTGATGGCAAATTCAGCTCTGCCTCATTTCATGGTGACACATTACCTAATAACATGACAAACTACTATGTCATGTTACTATGTCTACTGCACAGCGCAGTGCTCCACTTTGTCAAGTCTCAGTACTGTTTTCTGTTCCTGTCTAACTCAATCTTTTCTCTCTTTAAATATATATTTAAATATATTAATGTCCATTTTTTTTCAGTACAAATTTTTCATTGCCAATGCTTGCTTTTTCAGTTACGGTTTTGTTTTCAATGGCAGGCTTAATTTTTCAGTGCATGCAAGATGTGAAAGAAGTGGTGGTGTTCAATTTGATGAGAAGTGGGGGGGGAGGAGCAACATGCTAAATGTAGAGGAGAGAAACGGAATCTATTATTTGGATCAACTGGTGCTGACAAGTTCTAGTTTGGAGTGGCAGCAGTCAGTGGAGCTACTGGTAAACAGACCTGTGGTAAGTAGCGATTTATAGTTTAAACGTTTTAGAGCTCCTATTAAAACATTCGCACAGGACTAAAATAAAAGTGTGTTTAAAACATGCAGAGAAATTACAATCTAGAAAAATCTTCAAGTAGTGGTGCATCTATAGTAGCAGTATCTGTGCAGGGAGGGAGGGGGGGGGCGGGGTTAGTTTAATTTTTTGCTACTTCCTTGTTTTTTAGTTTTATCAGAAATTCCAGAACACCAGTTACTGTGATTATAGTCTATGGCACAAACCTACAACATGTCTGGTGCTATATTTACTGCTGTATGCTTCAGTTTAAATTCAAATCTCACACTAATTTGTAGTTTTATAGAGAATGTGACAAAAGAAATGTATGTCCGTGCAAATTCTCAGTTATCCGGGTCGTAATATGCTGAAAAAACTTAGAAGGCATCTGGACGTAGTTTTAGGTAGAAGACGTTTCACCTCTCATCCAAGAGGCTTCATCAGTTCTGCCTGACTGACAGGTGGAGGTGGACTGCTGGGGTTGGCCCTCCTGTGTTTTGTTTCCCCAGTGTATAGGTCATTACATTCCTTGACTACATTCAAAAACAGGTAATGACTCTTACCAATACCCTTATTTTGAAAATCAAATATATCCTTGTTCACTTCAGGTTCTTGTGTTGTGTAGCTGTCTGGCTCAGTGTGACAAGTCTGGGCACTGTTTGTCTCCTGCAGTCATGAACACATGCATGAATGCACCTTGTAATTCTTACTTCTATTTTTGAGCAGACCAACAGGAAGTAGCTGATTCTTATAACAAAACAAAAATCAAAAGTGTCACAGCAACAGTGGTTGAAACATGCCAGTCACAGTGCTAATGCATTTAGCTGAGATGAAATTCAGCTTTTAACTGAACATATCACATATTGTAGATATTTCCTGAGATCACCTCACTACAGCATTCTGATAGAGGCTTGTGTTTGAAGATGTGAAACAGTTGATGCCATTTCCTGCCTTGCACCTCCTGTGCCCACCCACTTGCTGTTTCATATCCCCAGAGTGGAACTACTTTTAGTCTGAGGATCCCCAGACTAGATTTATGTCAGTAGTTTTGTTGGTGTTTAGTTCAAAATCTCTTTGGATTTTCTTTTAGGTAGAACCTTATTCTGGATGACAGACGGGTATGGATCAAGTTCTAATTCTTCTTGTGATGTTAGCAGGTGGAACGCATGGTAAGATGCTCATCATCAAAGAACAAGATGAAACACTTTGCAGAACCACTGAAACAGCGTGTAAACAATGTTTTAAGCTGATTTACATCTTTTTGAAAATATCTTTCCCAGCTCTCTTTTCAGTTGCTGAGACTAAATGTAATGCCACCCAGAACACATCCTGCTCTGTTCCCTTTGGAGGATCTGTATATATCCAAGTCATGACCAGTGTTGGCAATAATCATCAGGTGTGGTTTAAAAAAGGGTCCACAAGTGTCGTCACCTTTAGGTCAAAAAAGGTGATTATAGCAGAGGACTTCAGAAACAGAACAGAGTTTTTCATCACCAATGGCACAGTCAAGATCACGAATGTGGAGAAGAATGATGCAGGTCATTACGTTGTAGAGATCTATGATCCAAATGGGGTTTTGATCAGAAGGATTCATATTCAACTGCATGTTCTAAGTAAGTATAGGTGTGGTCCAATAACAGGAACTGGCTGTGGTTTAACTGAAGCTTTCAGGGATTGTCATCTTGTGTGTTCGTCTCTTTTTTCCTGCATCTTGCAAGGAAATTAAAGCTTGCAAAACATTTCAAACATATTTAAGTGAACTCAAAGTAAACACAGAATGTAGTTCTCTGAATATATCTGTGGCTGTTGTAGTGAAATGAAACTACACTGATAGACAACTAAGATTTAATGTTCCTGTGTTTATTATTAAGAAGGGGGATTTGTTCTGTCAACAGAATTTTCATCTCACCAAACTTCTTCAATCTGCAGAGACATTACCACCAAATCTATCTATATAACCATTAGCTGATCAGTCTTTATGTAAACATCCCTGAGTGACAATTGAACTATAGCAACTGTTGTAGATTTCAAATTAAAGTTTAGATGTTTTAATCTGTCTTAGTGTAGGTTCAAGTGTTGGCTTCATGTCTGCTGGATGGAGCTCCTTAATACTTGATTCTAGATTTGTTTATGGAGACCTTAACTGCAGCTGGAGTCTAGCTTTACTGTATGATGGCAGTTGATAAAAACTGGAAAGTGGGACTCTTGTTGTTGTATTTATATATCTTATGCAGCTCACTACAACATCAACAGGGATTTCAAAGAGGACTTCTTTCTTTCTGATCAGTCATCATACACATAGTTCATATGCTTATTGTATAATTACCAATGTGGTCATTTCTCCCTAGGACATATGTCTCTCACCCTGACCCTGATCATAGCGGGCTCTGCAGCGGGCGCTCTACTGATACTGGTTTTGTTATTTGTGTGCATACGGCGTAGGAAGTCAGGTAAGACTGCATGTAATCAAAAGAAAGGCAATGACAGCATTTCATTCAGTACCATGTTCTTCTTTAAGTTGTAAATGATTTAGTTTTATTGTCTCTCCTCTGCAGGCTCAGTTAAATAACTGAGAGCAAACCCCTACCTTCATTATGAGTGAGACTTACTGAACTCATCTGAGGACCATTCTCAGGAGTGGATACTGAACTAGACAGCAAACAAAGGAGCTGGAAAAGACTGGAGTTTTCTTTTTCTATTTTGAATTAGAACCTAAAAAGATTATTTAAACCATGATATACAATTAGATATATTAGATATTAATATTTAAAGCTACAGTATGTAACTTTTTCAACTATTTTTATTGTAGAAATCTGTTCCAAAGCAGAGAGGTGCTGCCGAAGCCTCCAGTGACCCAGACTCTGAACAGTTTTGGCAGCAGTGCAGAAATATTAGCTTTTAAAAGTTGTTTAATGGGATTGACCTCTCTAACCAGTCAGACATTTTCAGTTATTTCTGCTTTATCAGTACGTTTTGTTGGATTCTCATTTCTTGTAATTTCATAACAACAAATATTTGAAGAGCTGTAGCAGATGGTAGCAAGGCAGGGAGAGGCAGTGCTGGGCGGAGCAGAGTGGATTGAGTTGGAGTTTAATGCTAAGCTACTTTAAGTTAAATACTGTAGCTTTAATATATTTCAATAAAATTATGTCATGGTTAAGCACCATTTTTTAAAACTGCATATTCACTTGTTTTCAGCCTGGACATAA